CCTTAAAAGGAAGCTATAAATTAAGAAACTACTTTATACTACAATAAGATAGTGCTAAAAATTTTATGATGTTCTAATTGTTCTTTACTAACTTCACTTATTGCTTTGATAAATTCTAGATATGCATTATGTAAAATAATTTTAATGTATATGTATAATACAGTAGAAGTATTGATATTCTTTATGAAACTATTTGAAGGTAATTTTCCTTTAAGTTGTTGAATTGGAAAGGATTGAATAGTTTATATTATATTTTTTATAAATATAAATGTATAAAGAATCATTCATGAAATATTTTTTTGAATGTAAACATGACTATAATCACTTATAATGAAGTTTTTTGTTTTATATTCTGTTATAATTTGAAGCTACATTTGCAACAAATTTTTTAAATAATTATTTTATATATTTTCTTAAGATATTTCTTGAAAATAGAAAAATATTTTAGATATAAAATTGAAGTTTTATTAGATTAATAAAATTTTATTAATTTTGTTGAATAATTTTCATTTGTTGTTGTTCTAAATATGTTTGATGTATTTTTTTTTCTTTATTATTATAATTCTATTACATGAATGTTATTTAAAATAAAAATAAGCTCTGTAATAGAGATATAGAAAATGTGTTTTCACAGACATAAAATTTATGATGATTTATGATGATTTGTTATTTGACCTCTTACCACCTGCTGCTGGTGCATTATTTTTCTTTTATTGACTTCAGAGTATGTGAAGGAATGAAGTGATATTTTCTATTTAATTCATTGGAAATTTATATATTTCAAAAGTAAATTTAACTACTATTTATAAATTTTGCATATTTTATCTTAACATGTTTCTTTATTAACAATTAATATATATGATTTTTTTTTAGTATCAAAGAATATTTTCTGTTTAAAAATATAAATAATTTATGTAAAATTAAGTAATAATTCTATATTTATTATATGTTATTGTTATAGTAGTTTCTGATAGTATTTTATAATTGAATTCTTGTCCTTGTTTTTACATTCAAATACTTTCATTTTTAAAAATACGGATGAAACAATTAATATTTTCGTTTTGTTTTGTTTTTATTATACAGTCGACCCCCTATAACACTGTTGATTTTTCCGTTTTATATGAATTCCATGTTGTACGAGTTGCTTGAATTTTACAAATACGTGAGCCGTTCACAGCCCGGCACACGTATCTGTAAAATCTAAGCGACTTGTACAACATGGAATTCATATAAAACGGAAAAATCAACAGTATTATAGGGGGTCAACTGTAAATGAACTATTTTATTTAGAGGTTTATATATTGTCACAAATAAAATAAATGACAAATTTATCAAGAAAAGAAATACTAATTTATTAACTGGAAAACTGACTAAAATTAATTAACATTGAAACAAAAGAATAAACATTGGATTGGAAAATGAAAATAGTATACAGTATTTTTTAAAGTTCTGGAACAGAATAGTTTCATGAGTATTTCTCTTAATTGAACATATTTTTTTTTAAGCTGTGTTGTAACCTCACCTGATTAGTCAATGGCCATGATGGTGGAAGTCCAGCTCAATGCTATTGAATTTTTTTAAATGGAAGTAATTACATTTCATTTATACAAAAATAAAATATGTAGTAAATTATATTAAAGTAAAAATTAACATTGATTTTATGGTAGATTAATCTGGCTTATTCAATAATATACAGTAAGACCCCACTTGATGCTGCCTCGCTTAACACTAATTTGATATAACAGTCTGTTCGAAGCCTTAAAAAAGCTCAAAATTTACGCTGATCTAAATTATCATGTCATTTCATTGATTTGTATATAATATGATTATTTACGAACATGAACCAATCAGCAAACGAAGGCAAAAAGGTGTACTTTCTTTAAATCTATGCTTGTTTAGTGCAATTTTGGAAAAAATATACATCATGGATGCCATAGGCAATATCAACTTTGCTTGGCAAGAATTAACTGATAAATGCACGAATAAAGTTTGGAAGAAGTTATGGCTGAAGGTGGTATCCAAGGATTCTCAACGAGAAAAGCCTATCTCTATGTTGTTATGTTGACCAAATTGCTAACCTAATTGATACTGCAGGACTAGGAGATGTAGACAATCAGGATATTGAGGAGTTAATGCAGGTTTCTGGCGAGAGCCTTACCAATGACGACCTTCATGAACTGGCAGAACAAGGAATTTGTGTAGAACTGGAAAATAGAGATTCTGAAAACGAGGAGCCCAAAAAATTTCTCTACAGATTTCCTTAGTAAAAGTTTGGTAATGATAACCGATATTGTTGATGAAATTGTAGCAAATGATCCAGATTTTGAAAGGAGTGCAAAAGCAAAACGAGATGTTTGAATGCAATCTTCTGCTACCGACATTTGCTTAAGGAAAAAAAAGCGACAAATGAAACTTCACAACTAATCTTAATTTCCGGGTTTTTTTTTTTTGCAATAAAAAAAAAATATGGAAATTTCAGAAAAGTAAAGATTTTTATCACAAAAAATGAATTTACATTTCTGTGTGCATGTTTGTGTTATTTAACACATATTATTATACAAATTAATATAAAAATAACTTAAAATTAAAGTAATATTTGTTTATTTTTGGTCTCATGTTCCCCTATCCCCATTTACTCTATGTTAAAATTACCTCATTTAATGCTGTTTTGTTTAGTACTTTGTTGTCTAGGAACACATCCCCATGTTAAGTGGGGTCTTACTGTACTTATACTTCAATGATATTCTTGCTCATTCAATAATAATACTATCATTTATTTGATTATTAGTATAATTTGGATTTGGTTACATTCCTGGTATAAATGTTAATGAAAACTCTATGGTAGAAGACATAAAGAATAATAAATTATTTATTAAAATTTACACTCATTTAATTAAATTAAAAACACTCATTTGGAATATTAATTTAATCTTTTTAAAAACTGAAATTTACCTGTAATTAGTAAAGAAAAACATTAATGCAGAGTGGAAAGCAGGAATAATGTTTTTACTGTCATTAAGGTAGTTAAATTTCACTAAAAGATATTCCATCTTTGTGACTACCATTCTAATGTAATTCAGTTCCTTGTTCACTAATCTTTGTTAGAAGGAATATAAGTAGATGCAACATATTAGGGCATTAATGTAGCCAGGGCAGGAGATTATTGGAATAATTATATGGATTAAATTAAATGTAGAAAACATGAAAAGATAATATCAGGGATGTTTTATGTATATAAAGATCTAACAAGGATATTGAGCTAATACAGTCAGTGATGAACCCTATGGTCAAAGACCACTTTGTTCCACCAATGTACTGATAGAAATATGTTGTTTATTTGAGAGATTCTATATAGTTTGTTGATTGACATATGTAACAAAACCTTTTGAGGTTAGGTTCTTTTTAGGCTATTATGGCAATGATAACCTAGCTTATCATTGCCTTAATAACCATTGCATTAATGTTGAAAATTAATGAAATGGTTATTAAAACTTTTTAAAGTACTTTTGACAATTTTTTTTTTTTTTTGTTTTTGAAGCAGCAATGAATTTATTTTGATATTATTATAAATGGTGCCCCATAATATAAAATTGGCCACTCATTGGAAACAATACAAATGAATTTAGGCAAAAGACACTTACTAGAAACATTATTTTAACATTATTTAAGCATACAAAAACATACAAAACATGCTGTCAGTCAGGGATGGCCCACATTAATATTTTTTGTGGCCTGTGTCACATAAAATATGAATAAATATATTGATTTCCTGGCTTAAGGAAGTATGCAGCAAAAATTCAAACATTATTTTCTACAACTTATGTATGTTTTACTGCATTGAATTTACTAAAAATTAAAACAAGAAACCAGCTAACATACTCACATCAAAACTAATTTAAAATTAGCAGTGATTAATATTTAACCAAATATTTCCAATATATTATGTTTACATCAGTTCCAGAAGCTAAATTAAGTATACCTATGCTAATGTATAATTATATATGAATAAGTAATTGTGATTTACTAGCATTTTTTTCTCTTTTCTCTTGTATTCACATCACTAATGTTTCATCATTTCAGTTGGCCAGCCAATTTTAAGTGAGACACACTGTAGATTTCAATATTGTATGTTCTTGTTAAACATGTTTATAAGTAATTATTTCAATTTATTATTTTTTAAATAGAAAAGTATATAGATGTATTTAGTTAAACTTCAATAATGATTTTAAATTTAAATATTTTTGACCTAGAATCATTATGATTTGTCTTTTTTTTTTTTATAAAAACAAGATAGCAATAAATGTAAAAGATAAATATTTGTTTTATTAGTGTAAATGTATAATTATCTAGATAAAAGAGACATTCATTCTGATTATATCAATTGATAATCTTCATATATAGATTAGGATGATTAAGACTATATAATTAGATATATGATTAGATAAAAATCTTGTTGGAAACTGTTTAAATGTGTGATTTTTATAGTTAAAAAATAACAATATATTTTTAAAACAAGTAAAACTGCATCTATAGCACTGTTTATAAATTGATTAATTGGATGAAAATCTGAAAAAATATATCTGAAATTATGTATTTGGCTTGATTTTTATGGCTGAATGTAACATCTTGAATGACTCAGATTTCAACATTACTTTTTATGTAAAATATAATGCGTTGTATAAAAATATTAGTTAAGATTTAAAAAGAAGTCATTTTTAAAATCTTTGCATATATTATACAAAATAATGCTTATTTAATCAATTTTAATATTAAAAGGAAATATATTATATTATTGTTATTTGTGTAATAATGTTACATTGCAATATTTAGATGATGATTAACCTGTATTTATTTTCTAATTTTATTAATATACTTTAATTTTTTATGTAATAATCTGTAAATAATAGTTTTATAATTTATAATAGATTTATTAAATATATTTTTTTAATTACTAAATATTAAATATGGATTGTGATAAAGTTTATTTTTATATGTTGCAGATGAGACAGAAGAAAGAATTGATGATGTTCCAAATAATGAAATCAAATTAACATAATATGCCAAAATATTGAACCACGTTAAATATACCATATGAAAACAACTGAAAATTTAGAAAAACATTCCATTTTAACAAATACTCCTTTTTTTTGATATTTTATTTAAATGTTTGCTCAAATTACTACTGATTTAGCAGAAGATTTGCTTCTACAGAATGAGATTTTTCTGTATTTTTAAAATGAACTATGATTGGACTCTGCGTAGAAGACACAAACTTTCATTCATCTTGAAAAGTTTTTATGATGAAGTCTTGCTTTACAAAACATTATTAATGTGTTCATTATATGATTTTTTATGTTTTGTTAGTAAAATTGTGATGTTGTGTTTTAGGTTTTTTATACATATTGTAGAATTCTGTCCATTATTTTATGTGCAGCTAATTTTGATTTTAAGTTCATTGTTGATTCAAGCAGGTATTGTATTCATTTATATTTTTTAATAAATGCTTATATATTTAATTAATTACATTATCGAGGAAGATATTTGAAAAAATACAGGAATGTTTTAAGAATTGCTAATTTTATAAAAGACCACTTTGATTACCTGATATTTAATTTTAAGAATTTTCTCAGTCTGTTCTGAAATTATTACTTTATTGAAAATAATATGTTGCACAAAATGCTGTGATCCACATTAAAAAATTCTATTTTACAGCTGTAAAAAGCTATACTTAGTAAGAAAATCATCATTTGTTTATAGGTGGTGATGGCTTACCACCTTATCCTTCATTATTAAAAAATCTTTACTGAACAAAACTTTCAATGAGTTTGATCAACATTTTATATGTAAAAATGCAAATTTTTATAAATTTTGATGATTTTGTAAATATAATGCCATTTTAACCTGGTAAGAATGTTTCAAACATTATTTATTTGCATAATTCTCTTCTATGTCATATTTATAAAATTACCAATTTTTAAAACATTTCAATAAATTTTAAATATTTATTAATAATTATAATAATATAAATGTCTTAATAAATGCATACAATTACAATTCCTTTAAAAATAATGGACTAGATCAGTAGTTTCCAACTTATTTTAATCACTGAAGTCTTTTCACCTTAATAAAAGCTTTGAAACCTGACAATTTTTACTGATTATAAATAAAACAATAAATCAAAAAATTAAAACTAAATTTATTTAACATATTAAAAAAAAAAACAGATAAATAATGAAAAAGTAAATAATAATAATTCAAACTAATAATTATTGTAGGGATTAATTTTTGCAGATTATTTCATCAGGAGATGTGCAGCTCAATTGGTGGGAGAATTGAATGCATTTGATTTTGCAAATTGCTAATGAACACTCAAATATTCAAAACGTTTGTTATGTATTGTTACTGTCCGGCACAGTCAACAGGAATGAAAGCTATTTTTTTCAATTCAAAGAATCGAATACACAGGAAAGAATCAAATGAATGATTCAATTCTCTCGCCACTGAATTTGATGGGTTTTACTTTCAACAAATATGAGTTGTACAGTGTGCACTTAGGTCCCCTGTTCCTAATGAAATATTAATAATTTTTGGAACTAAATAAATTTGTCATACCTATTTTTAAACTATTTATTAAAGCTCAAAACTAATTTCATTGCAGAACCCAAAATTTTATCAGTTGAACCCTAGGATTTTACAGAACATAAGTTGGAAACTGCTGGACTAGATAAATTTTTAATCAAAGAAATACTTTATTTTTAATATAATAAAAAAATTAATTTCATTATATTTTTATGGAATGTAAAATTTAATATTTTGTCTCAAAACGTTAAACTATTTTTTAAAAATTGCATATTAATAATAATTAAATTTGTTTTTTTTAAATTAAAATTCTTAATTCTAAATTTTACTTTATAGAACAACAATCTGCTCCTCATTTTGTAGTGCAGCCATCATTTACTGGAGGAATTGTGACAGAAAATCAGTCAAAAATACTGCAGTGCCAAGCTATAGGTTTTCCTCCGCCTGAATATAAATGGTTAAAAAATGGTCAATCATTAGGAAATTTTTCACATGATCCTTTACTTCGAATATCAAAAATTACAAAAACTGATGAAGGAATATATCAGTGTATTGCTCATAACAATGTTGGTGCTATCTTCAGTGAAAAAACTGCCTTAACTGTTGCTTGTATGTTTTATTTATTTAATTATTAATTAAATTATTTGTTTACAATAATAATTTCTAGTAAACATTTCTTCTAATTTAATTACTTTTTTTATTAGATATTAATGATCCTAAAAATGTAGAAAATAAAACTATTACTATTGAGCAAGGCCATGCTGCTTTGTTAATTCCTCCAGAAGTAGAAAGTATACCTCCTCCAACTGTGACTTGGCAGCGTATAGGTAAAGGCAGACTACATGGAAGTAAATATGTTATTACAGGAGAAAATCATTTGGTTATACTATCTGTTGAACCGGAAGATTCTGGACAATATCAAGCATTGCTAACCAATACTCAAATTGGTCAGGAAAAATCAGGACCTATTATTACACTCATAATAATAGGTATGTTTTAAAGCTTTGTTTTATTTTTAATGTAACTTTATAAATTTCCTGAAAGAAAATAAAAACTAAATAGCCTATTTAGCAGATAATTACTGTTTGATTGCTTGTTATTAGTTAGTTGACAAACTGTAACCTGTCAAAAATGATGGGGAGAAAAAAGTTAATTAAAAAAATTAGAAAAAAAAAGCAAGAACAGTAAGCAATCAAGTATGAAAAAAAATTGATTTTTACTTAAAACTGTGCAAGAATTATTGAACTATAAAATTTATTTTATCACAACATTTTTTATAAAGCCTGTGTTATTTATTGATAATTTTCCTTATTTTGTTTCAAATCATTTAAATTTTTGCTGTTGCAACAATGTAATCCTAAATTATCCAAGTTTATTAATTTTGAATTTGGGCAAGCACCAACTGGCAAAATTGGTATATTTAATTTATGGTGGAAAATGTCTACCACTAGAGATAACATTATCAAGTGATTTTTGTCAATGTCATATTAAAGATATAATTTTTAAGTTTTGATTCTCTTTTTGTCACTTATATTTGAGAAAATTAATTACTTCCTATTCTATTATCAGGCTTTAAAATATACTATAAAATGAAATACAGTGTTAAGATATAACTAATGACAAGAAAATAATTGTTTTTTCTCATCAGTAAGTTTTTGTAAAAATAAATTTATCAGTTTTATCTAATGACAATGACAAAAACTAAAAGTAAACAATTTTCATTAGTGAAATTTGTATTTCTACTGCAACCATACTCAAATTCAAATTATTTGTAGAACTTTAACAATCCATATAAAACTTCAGATATATGAACATAAGATAATAACTTCAGAAGACAACTCAATTAATGTTAAAAATCACTTTAGCAAAAAAATGAGGTAAAACTTGTTAATAAGCCTTTTTTGACCAATGAGATAGGAAAAGAAATGAAAACCTGTCAATTTTAAATAAGAGCATTTAAAACTCAGATTTTCAAATATTGTTTATATTTGAATAAATATTTTTGTTTACAGTTTTGATTGTCATCATCTTAACACATTCATGGCATCAGTAGATAAACACTTATGCAGCTGCTGGGCATTACGAGTCACAGGTGACTCGTAGCCTATTTTAATACAGGATGGTATGAGTCACATGTGCCTTGTACTATTAAATTAATATATTTTATTGCACCTAATAAAATAATATCGATATATCAAGTACAGTGGTACCTCAGGATATGAAATTAATCCGTTCCGAAACTGAGATCGTATCATGAAATTTCGTAAAGTGAATCATTTTTCCCCATATGATTACATGTAAAACCAAATAATTCATTCCAACACGAAAAACACACTCAAATTAAAGATAAGTTGTACATTAAAAAAAAAATAACTATAGTAAGGAAAACACTGAAAAATGCATTTTGTAGTTGTAAATGTATAAATAACCATAACAGAATAATAATTGATAAAAAAAATGTACTTTTATTTGCATAAAGTGCAAATAAAAGTACATTTTTTTTTATCAATTATTATTTGAAGATAGACGATGGTGGAGGTGTAAGCTGGTGGCGGAGGAGAGGGAGAAGGGAAATGATACTAAAACTTAACTTACATAACATAATGTAACAATAACTTAGAGAAGATTAAAAAATTAGTGTTGTTTTATATATTTTTTAAAAATTTTAATTCACTGCTTTTTGCTTTCCTTCCTTCACTTCCACCAGCACTTTCACTGGATAGAGGTCGCTTGGTAAAATATCTATCCAAAGAGGTTTGGCTTTGCCTACTTTTTAAAATGTTTCTAAAATGACTTAGGCAAATGTCATTACTCCGAGCAGCAATACGGCCAGTGTAAACCTTATTGGGATGTTTCTTTTCAATAAAATCAGTCACTTTCTGATAATACCTCAAGATTTCCTTTATCGAGCGAGATTCTTCCATGACGAAGCAAACACGTGGACTGAGACCAATGAACAGAAGTGAATAAAAAATGTGCTGCGAACTAATGTAATGTTGTATGGTGAGTTTTTGTTTGTATCGTGGAGCAAAAATATGTTCAAATTTCATGTCCTATCCTGAAAATTTCGTATCGTGGGGCGTTCGTATCCTGAGGTACCACTGTATGATGTTTGTAGAATTATGTTATCAAAACATATGCGCCACCACGGAAAAACAAGCAATTATGTCTGTCGCCCTAACTAGACATGTTTGTACGAGTCACATGTGCCTCGTAACACTGTGAACATGCTAATAACATAGATTAAATTGAATATTTATAGCTATCTGAATAAAATAGACTTCAAGGAATTTAAATTTGAAATATTTTAAATTTAAATTTTTCCTTTTGCAGTTATGATGATCAGAGGTGCTTAGTATCTAAATAGCATTCAACTGGCCATATTATTCATACTCAGTGGGATACATTATATATAAATTTATTAACCTGGAGTTAATTACCAAAATTCACTGAGTGATGAGTAATAAGTAATATGGTTATATTCCAAATTTATACATATATTTGAATCAACTTCTGTGTAGCCTCCAGATAATAAATATTTAAATTGCAAAATATACTCAATTTTTTTACCATATTGAAAAATGCTCATTTATAGAGTGAATTATTTAATATACTGGATTAAGTAATTTAATACTTAATCCAGTCATAGTCTGTGTGAATTTTGATTTTTTTAGTTAACTTTTAAGTCAATAAATTATTATATTCAGAATTCTGGAGAATAATATAATGTTTCCAAAACAAACAAAAATTTTTTAAGTTTTAAATTAAAATATTGAATTTACAGCTTATATGAAACTGTATTAATCTCAGTCAGCTATATGATTTGTTGACAAATTGGCATGAAAAATTATTTTCGTTGTTCAATAAAGTTGTGGAGTCTATCTGCTTTTATTCTAATTATGTAATATATTAAGTAAATGTATTTTCTGTTTTAATTCATTTAAAAGAAAATCTTTTATTTAATGTTTAAAAACTATTGTCTCTAAATTAACTGTCCATTAAGATTACCTTGGATGTATATTGTACAGCTTAAGTTTTCTTTTTATATATTTCATATATAAAATATTTTTATATGCAAATATAGTTAATCAGTCTAATGAATATTACATCATGTAAACTTTTTGAATGAGCAGTAATTTGAGAACATCCAATTTTATTACAGAATTTTGGTTACAATTTTTTGTTTAAAATTTATTTTTTTTGCTTCCTTGGCAAATAACTGAATGAAGCTATAAAACATATTGACACTAATAATTAAACATGTGTTAAAATGTTGCTCTCATGAATACACTGCTCATTAACTTGTGCATTATGTTGGCAAATCTTCATATATTACTTTTGGATATGTTATTTAGATATGATATTAAGATTGTTAATGGCAATGATAAGTTCTTATTGCAGAAAAAAAATTCCGTTTTTATTTCAAAATACACTTTATTAATACAAACATTTTTTAGTAAGTACATGTAAATGTCTTTTCTTTATGTTAAAACTTGAACAGACAATTTATAACATTTTAGAATTAAATATTTTTTAACTTTTTTTTTATAGAATCCAAAGATGTAAGTTATTGAACAGTTTATACTAATAATGTTTTGATTTTAATATCCTGTTAGGATTTGTTCATTATATTTTATAAAAATGAAACAGACTATTGTACAATTGTATATAATTCTATACAATGGTCTGCTTCATCTGACAAATACTTGATATAAACAAAGATGCAAATAGGTTGTAAAGATACATCCTTATTTGTTGATGTAAATAAAGTCCACTTTAGTAATGAATTTTTTAAAAATGTAATGATTCCATTCTATATAAATTCAGATATTATTTCATAGTAAAAAATAAAATGGTGTTATTTGATAGTTGTGTATTTGAGCACAATATAGTTTTTATTATATTAAAATAAATAAATTTTTAAAAGGTAAGTAATAAAACTTATTCAGAATCTTTATAATTTTCTATTAAAGTTTGATTTAATTATAATAATTATAAATAATTAATTTATTGAAATAAACTGTTATGAATAAATTTGATTAATCTGGAACTTGTTAGTTTTTTGCAAATATTGTAGAATATTGAGAAATTTTTTATTTTGCAACACTGTAGATCACAGATAATTATTCTATATATAGGTTCTATTATTGTAAAATGTTGCCAACTTAAAAAGTTACCAAAACACTGTTTTATAAAATGGAAAATATTTTTAAAATCTTTACTTCTGGAATTCTAATTTTGCTGTTCATTTGGAAATATGTGTTAGATCATTTCAGATAATCAATTAAATACCATATTTTTTGCCTTATAAGATGTACTTTTTTTATACCTAAAATTTATTTGAAAATTAGGTTGTGTCCTATAAGCCAAATACATCTTATACAGTGAAGAATATTTTTTCCCAAAAAAAGTATACGACAAAGCTTCAGTATGAAGGATGTATACGACAAAGCTTCTTATAAAGCAAAAATATGGTAACTTCAAAAATACATATTATATAGAAAATGATAAATTATTCTGTTAAATTTAATAACATCTATTGATTATATAGAATGGTACAGTGATTCTTGATATAAATATCAATGATGATCATTGTTTGTACTGTATAATTAGCATTTAAGAAAACAAGTATGATACACAAAGAAATTTAAATAATTATGTTCACATTCTTTATTTGTAATTATAGTTATTTGCTGGTTTAATTAATTCATCCATATGTAGAAATGAATTTGAGATTTATAATAGAAATTTTTATAGCAGGAAATTATTTTTTGTGCAAATCTAGTGAATACTGATATTTATTTATTGATTGGTTCAGTTAGTGCATGCTTACATCAATTTGATGTAATCTCTTCAGTATTAAAACAGACAGTTTAAAAAAATCAAATTCACATAAAAATCTGCCTATTATAAATGAAGATACATTATGTTTACTGTGATTTTTTTTTAATAATAAAATTTAATTTAAGAACTTAATTTTAAAGTATTACTAATGAATGCATCAATTATTAAAATATAATAATTTATAAATTTATTAGTAATACTTGTTTGTTTATTTTGTTTTTTATTAAATTATTTATTAAAACTGTGTTATATTTTCTTCTAGCAAATGAAACTAATAATCCTATTGCTCCAAAAATTATTATTTCGCCAAAAGATTCCATTTTTACTCAAGGAACATATCCAGCTTCTTTAGAATGTATTGCAAATGCCAGGTAATAAATACATTTAAATAATTTTAACTATTTTATTTTATTTATTGTAATGCTGAATTATTGATTTTATTGATCACTGTTTAGATATTTCCATTTTTACTTTTATTCATTGAGAATTAAAATGAGTAACATTAGAGTGCATTACAAACTACAATAGTATCTTAATTATTAAACTTTAATTTTGAATTTAAATTTATTTATTTTGTTTGCTAATTTCCATTTAATTGCATTAAGAATTTTTCAAAACTACATACAATAAGTAAAAGTTTTCATTATAAAATGAAGCTGATGAATATGTTTGATAATGGATTTTCATACAAGATTTTCAAAATATATTTATTTTTAGACCACTTGAAGAAATAAACACAATCTGGAAAAAAGATGGACGCGACATTCATTTAACAGGATTATCTTATATTCTTTCCCCTTGGAATAGATCTCTCACACTTACCAATATAGGAACTCCTCATGAGGGAATATATGAATGTCAGATTTATCATAGATTAATTGAAGAACCACTTAGAAGTTCTGCCAAAGTATCAGTGTATAGTAAGTTAATTATCTATTAGTAATTTTTTCATGTGTTATTCATTTGGTACTGATAATTTTATAGAAATGATATTGTTGTATATTATTTATGGATAAATATATATATTTAGAAACTAAAAATAAGATGTTAAAAGAGAGATTAAGAATGAAGCTTGAGTTTTAACACCCTCTGAGATTGTAAAACATACAAAACTTAATTTTGGGGGAACAAGCTGTTTAAAATCAAAAATGCAACTAACTGGTGGTTGTTTTTTTTTTATTTTAAACAACTTGTTTAATGTGCAAGAGAGAGACTATAAAATTGTTTATACTTTGTAATGTGGATAAATTATCAAAGTATGTATCTTATTTTTAAATGAAAATTCTTGAAAGTTGTGAAAAGAATGAACAACTCAAATAAAGATCAGGAGAAAAAATTTTTGATTTAAAGCCACATGATGAAAATTTAATGATAGTAATTATGTTGAATATGGTTGAATAATGATTGCAAAAATTATGTGGAGATGTTTATTGTCTAAATAATGATTGCAAAAATTAACAATTTAAGAAGTTTGTGGAAACTTCAGAGTTTGTTGTGTTCTTTTTGCTTTTTTGTTTGTAAAAAGTTACAAATTAAATAAATATTAATATATTTATTCAATTTGTAATTTGTTATTAATATTAATATATTTATATAGTTCTTGTTCACTGGTACCTTACATTAAAAGATTAATGAATAACCAAGAAACCAAGTAAAATAAAAATATCTAACATGCATTTGAGAAAATCTATTTTTATAAATCTTTAAATAAAAATTGAGGATGTACTTTTAACAATGCATTTTTGCTTTAATTCATGCTACAAATTAGATTGTAAATTGTTTAATCTCTCTTTATTAATATTGGGATCTTAGTCTCTTCTACACCTTCAAATGAAATTAATAAAATTTATTTTATATGCAAGATAATGAAAATATGGCATATACTTTAAATTAAATACCTTTTCTTTATATAAACATTCTTTTTATATTTATAAATATTTTAGTTTTAAATTAATAAATATCGCAATTAATAGTTTAATTACAAGTAAGTAGGTAATTAGATTTCAATGTTTATTCACTTAATTGTCAATAGTAATTTTAACTTTTTAAATATATTTTACAAAATTAAATGTATATTTTTAGTACCTCCTACAATAACTCTACCACCACAAGGAGAAACAGTTTCTGAAATAACACAGAGAGTCTCCTTGCCTTGTGAATCACAAGGTAATCCATCACCACAGATATCCTGGTATAGAAATGCTGCATTAATTAAATCCTTGCCTGAAAATAGATATCATATTTCTGAGAATGGTTATTTGGAAATTGATAATTTGGTCACAGAAGATTCTGGAATATTTCAGTGTGTGGCAAAAAATGAAGCTGGTGATGTTTCTGCTAGTACTTGGTTACATGTTAAAAGTAATATAAATTTCTAAATATTTATGTAATTAAGCAATGTAAATATAAGTAAAAATATGAATATCATTTTTTTATAATCTATTTTAGCATCACCTCCAGTTTTTACTCGTTCACCTGAAAATGTAACAATTTTAGATGGTAAAGATGCTGAAATAAAGTGTGAAGTCATTGGTGCTCCCCTTCCTAACACCACATGGATATTTAATGGTAAATAGTTATAAAATTCTAATTAGAATAAATCTCAAACTTATTGTTAAACTTGTAATAGATTTAAGATACAGAATTATCTACTTAATTAATTGGTATTCAATTGTTAATTTAATGCATAAGTAATACTTCCACTTTTACAATTTTGTTTTATACAAAAATTTTTAAAATCAATTCATTGTATATTCTACTAGCAGACCCCGCCATGCATTGTTTTGGCTCAAAATGTATCTATTATAAATGTATAACACATCCCCCATGGAGGGGGGAGAATTTTTCAAAAAATTCCTTCTTATTGTACGTTCTCTTGATGTACCCTATTAAAACGCAATAAAAAACGCAAAAAACCGCATCTAAAATAGTATAATAGAAGCCAAGTTCTTTATGGTAAACCTTAATCCTCTCTCTCTCCCCCGCGGGGAGACTGTAAAAAAATTCCTTTTTAGTGTATATTCTGTTGACATACCCTATTAAAACGCAAAAAACCGCATCTAAAATAGTATAAATAGAAGCAGAGTTCTTTACGGTAAGCCTTAATCCTGTCCATCTCCCCCAGTGACGGAAATTTCGACACGTATATTATATAAAAACACGTGTGTATTCGAATGCAGCATTGTGTCAAAATTTCAAAGGAATTGGTAGGAACAAACGAACATTACATTTTTATTTATATAGATAGATAGAAGATGATCTGCTTTAGTTTATCCTCACAGAAAAGCATAATGCCTCACAGAAAAGCAAACTTAGGGCATCGTACTCATAGCGCCATCTGTTGGACATAAAAGCCTTAACCCTAGATGATATCTTTTAATTTATATGAATATTTAATGGAATAATATACAGCCTATGTCCACCCTGAAGTTCCATTCTAAATATTGGTGAAAGAATTTTTGATATTGGATGAGTAGTTTCGGAGATTAGCACTTGCATACAAACTTACAAACATTACCTCTTTATAATATTAGTATAGATAATAATTTTTTTGTATTTCTTCACAAGAAGATTGTAGGTGGATAGGAAGCTACAGCTAGTTCTATTTTGAAATTCAAAGTAGAAAATTTACAGTTTTAACAAAATTTTACTTGTATAACTGAATTTTAAAAAAAGAGAGTTAATTTATATTATTAAATTATGCAATATTTTTAATATGTATTATTTTACAGATACTACTATAATGCATAGTTCAGGAAGAATACAAATTTTGGAAAATGGAAATTTATTAATAGCATCTATAGAATCAAAAGATGTTGGAAAGTATACCTGTATTCGAATTAATAGTGGTGGTTCAATTTCTGGTCATGCATATCTCAATGTTTTAGGTATTTTTACTTTTTTTTAAATAGGTGTAATATAATACTTCATATAATTATGTAGTTTTTACATTTCTTTTTAACTTTTTAGTTTTTTAATTCAGTAAATTCTTTGATATTTCTGTTAATTTTGTTTCTTATTGAGAGATTATTATTGTCAAAAAAAACATAGTAGTAAAAGTTGACAAATAGTGAAGAAGAATTTTGAAATTAAGAAAAACATTCATATATTTTTATATAAAAAGAAAACCATAATTTAAAATTTTAAAAAATTCATTTATCTGAGAAGTAAATTTAAATACAAGAATAAGAGTAATCCTGGTTTTTTATTTAAATATAAAAAAAGTAATCCATCCTGAATGATGATAGGAATGAATTGTGTATCTCAGAGTGATCTTTGAAAAAGGGCCAAGAATTTTTATATTCGCATAAAATGATAAACTTTAGAATTGAGTCATTTGTATTATATACAGAATTCTTTAAATTATTTTTAGAGTAATTCAAAATTTTAGTTGATTTATTAGTGTCTGCTGGACAGAAAGAGTGAAAAATGGAAAAAATTAAATTTAAAAACATAAAAAAAATTATGACAGATAGTATGCGTACATTGATTTTTACTTTTTTAAAGTGAGACTTCTATTACACAGATTTATTATTTCATTAACCATTTAGAAAGAAACAAATTTATATACAATATAATGTATGTATTCATGTTTAATTTGAAAAATTTGATGTTTTTTGAAATATTAGAAAATTATTATATAAAAACTGGCAGGTTTATTAATTAAAATGCAATACATGAACAAACCTTATATAATACCTACATTTCTGGAATAAATATACAGAGGTCCTTTTTATTTTGTAGTATAAAATGCTATTTGAGCCAGATCAGTTCATCATCGGATCCTTCAAAACTTATTAAAATCTAATAACTAAATAAAAAGAATTTCCAGTAGAACATTATGGAGTTACACTTTCAAGCATTGGAACAATTTATATAACTAATTTTTCATATATTTAAATTATCCATTATTTAAATTTTTATAACTGGAAATCAAAATTTACATTTTGATGTTCTTGAAATCAGAATGCATCTTTCAGTTGGCATTGAAAGAAAGTTTCCAGTCAGAAGAACAAGTTGTGGCATAGTTGTCATTACTTGTTCAAGAACAAATGTTATCTTATCTGTTTATCCAGTAACATAAACTTTAAAAATAAAATCCATATTAGTTCAAATATCCAGAAATATTTAGAAAAATTTTTTAAAAATACTTTTTTGTACTATTATCAAATGTTATTATTCTACCTATGAATTTTATGATGGCTATGGTTATTTTCTATTATGTGACATTTAGGAAGATGATTGAAATTTTTTAATTGGTTTTTTTTTTCAAATGCAATAATTCCTTTTTACTAGTATGAAATTTTTTAGATGTTTTATGATTTATTATTCTAGCCAGTCATAATTAGGTTTTCCCAACAAATTTTAAAGATTTTATAATTCAAGATAAAAATGATGATAAATAGCTTATTTTTTGGAAAAAATTAATAAAGACTTAAATATTTTGAAAGTCAACATTTTAAATATAAACTTTGAAAAATTTGAAGCAAAGAAAAACTTTGAACATTAAAAACTTTTAAATAATCACAAGTTATTTGATTTAGAATTATATATGTCTTTATTGTTAATACTTATGTTACATAACATACTACTGCGGTAAGGGGCCTAAAACCACAAAAAAAGTACTACTACTGTGAGTGAAACTAGCTAATCAGTTAATCAAAAACAAAAAAATATTGATATGGTGAATCATAAAAATATTCATATCTTAAAAATTTGATTTCATCATTTACAAGTATATGCAGCAGATTCATTTCATACGATTTGTAATTTTCAATTTTATTTTTCTAGGAACACTAATTAAAAATGAGAAATTTGTTTATGTATAATGGCACTGCTTATATATAAACAGATGCAATATTTATACATTTAAAATCTAAAAACAAATCATGTAAAATTATATAAAAATTTGTATTGATAAAATAAATATTAAAAATATTTATTATTTTAATATTTTATGCATTACATGCTTTGTATACATATATTAGCATTTATTATCTAACAGAAAATAAATTTTAAAGAATTTTAAATTAAACATATTGTAATTATAAAATAAAAAATCATTCAAATTAATATTTTAATCATTTAAGTTAAACTTTTATTAAACTGTATTCTAAAAAATGTAATTTTAACTCAAACATTTGTTTTTGTAAATTTATAAGTATATTTAATAAATTGTAAAATTTGATTTCTATATTTTATTTTATTATTTTTTTTACAGAACTTCCTCATCCTCCAGCAAATGTAAAAGTTGATTTATTAAATACCCTTCCAAAAACTGTTAATATTAGTTGGTCAAATGGTTTTGATGGGAATAGTCCAATTACAAATTACATTGTACAGAAGCGTACAGTTCCTTCTTCAGGTAAATAGAATTTTATTGAAATCAATTAAAGTTATATAGAATCTAATTAAATTATTTCAGTTAATTAATAGTAATAATGTAAATACGATGATAAAATTAAATGGTGCTGTATATTTATGGTGTTTTTCATAGTTATATTTAGTCAAATGATACTTTAGATTCTACAGTATTAATTAACTCAATGCAGATATGATGCTAATCATTTTAAATTTATTCAATAATTTCTAGTAAATTTAACAGTTATTATTTTCTTTTTAATTTAGATGGTTATGTAGAATCATTAATTCCATGGGTAACTGCTAAAACAAATATTTCTGGTACTCAGAGATATGCTATTTTAAGCAATTTGAAACCTGCATCTAGTTACCAGTTTCGTATGAGTGCTGTCAATGGAGTAGGAGAGGGTAATCCTAGCAAAGAAACAGAAGTGATAACATTGCCTCCTGAACGTTAGTATAATATAATGAACAAAATATTTTTTATTTTACAATTAAGATTTTTTGTTTAAAAAAAGTTTTTTTAGCTTTTTATCTTTTATATTATAAAAATCTATAGTTGTTATTGGATATATTAATGTGTGTAATATATACATGGGATGGTCAAAAAGTAACTTCGTAAGGTTTACAGTTTAAAAATTAAAATACTGTTTAATGTAAATTTCAATGCAGCCAGTCTGAGAAATGACTCTGATTGTTAGCATTGAATAGTTAAAATGAAACAAGTGAAGGACAGTTGTAATGTAGCATTTTCAAATGATGACAGATTTAGAAAAGTGCTCTCATGAAGAAATCTGAACATTTATTCAATTTTTGGGATTTAAAGATTTCACTTTCTAAAATTATTGTCATTTCATTGTCAAGGTATATAAGAACAGTGTCATGTTTTGATTAAGGCATCTCAGAATGGTGTTGGACTATATACAACAAACCAGACTGTGGATTTGCTGCAGACATTTCAATAGGAAGTCTTTCTTCATCTCTCATACAGCCTAGCCTGACCTTTTTTGACTTTCACTTTCTCACAAACTCATTAGCATATGCCACATTTTTACATAGTCATCAGAATTTTTTGAGGACAGGATAAACTCATTACTTGTTGCCATAAATGATTAACAGCAAAAGAATTTTAGAATTTATTCTTGTATTAAGTCCATTTTCTTGTTGATTTTTTGATATAATTGAAATTGATTGACTACTATATATTTTATTATAACATAAGGGATTTTATTGTAAACTGTTGAAAATGATCCTAAAACATTATAAATATACTTTCTTTATGCCCTTTGAAACCAAAATTATCATTTTTCAATATTAATAAGAAAAATAAGTATGCTATGCTTTTTAATTGATAATCTGTAATCTTCAAAGATATTTATTGATTTTTGGCATATTTTAATTTTACATTAATATAAAAAATATTTTTATATAGCACCCAGCGGACCACCACAAGGTGTTGTTGGAGGAGCAAGATCATCAACATCTGTAATGTTGCAGTGGCAGGTAATTAATTCATAATAATTTGAAATGGAATTTTAGTTGTTTTGAACTCAAAATGTACCATGCTTTAAATATGAATTTTATATTTATATAATATAATTTTCAGTTGAAAAATGTTAAATTTAAAAATAGTGGCAGTGATCAATTCTTTTTGAAATATTTTTTATGTTTATAAGAAGTTTTCAAAAAAGGCTGTCAAGGGCTCTTCATAATTTACATAAGTTATGAAATTTTACTAAAAAATAATTTTTTATTCTTAATTATAGACACAAAGCTTATTTTTAGAGTGTGAAAGTAAGTTTTTAAAGAAATTTGTAAGTGCCAGTAATGAGTAAAATTTTCATTAAGTCTGACCCCATTCAAGGTACCATACATGACCCTTCTGTCTCCTCCATCCCTTAACCTTTTTAATTGCCAAATTTTAATGGCATATTCCCATATACAGAAATAACTCTGCCAAGTTTCATAAGTTTTAATTTATTCAGTCCTGAGATATAATGCAAAAAGGCACACAGTTCTGTATGGTTTTTTTTTTTACATTTTTGGGATCGTAATATCAACCCATTAAAAAATGCAAAAAAGAAAAATCCTACAGAGGTCAAAATTTGACTGATCACCATACTTTTCTCTTATATTGCATAATAACCAGGAAAGTAAATTGTCTTAAAACAGTTAAAAAGACTGATAACCACTTCTCACTTATAGAAACTAGACTAATTTTGACACGTTTACTTTGGTAGGTTCTACTCTATTAAATGTTTTGTTTGAAAGAATTTTCAGAACATTAAAGTAAATTTTTCATTATCATTTATTATTTCTGAAATAATTCTTAAAAATTCTTTAAAAATCATTTAGTAACTTTTTTGGAAAAAGTTTATTAGTTTTTTATTTATTTGATGTAAAATGTATGAAATATTCCAAAATAGTTAGGATTTTTTCCAGATTATCTGTATTGTAGATTATCTTTTTCTGAATGCAGTAAACAAATGCATCAGAAAAAGATTTGTGAGTATTCATAAAATTTTTTAAAACTTCTACTATATATTAGAACAATCCTTAAATTTCATCAAACACTAGTAAATTTTTTATGTATTCTAAAAGTATAGAAAATGAAAAAATTGCATAAAAATACTTAATAAGTAAACAATGTTAGTGATATGTTTAACTTCATAGAGAAAATTAAATTACTAATAAAGTAATAAACTTTATTCTATTTTTTAAAAATTTAAATAGTCTCAATATTTACTTTTAATTAGCATTTTAATATTTTATAGATCATCTAGCAGGTAAGCCTGGCATTGCCCAGGCAAGAAATAAATACAAACATTAAGATTATTAGATTATTTCATACTTCTAACCCTTCTATCATATCATATTATATTATAGTATTTGATTTATATAACTACAAATGTTATCTTACATAAGGGTTTATCACACTAAGTGACCAATCTAGCACATTTTAAAAATTCTTTAAATTGTGTACGGTAGAGGAAGGAAATTTTTTTAGATGTGTCAGATTGGTGATAAACCCTTATGTAAGATAACATTTATAGTTATATAAATCAAATACTATGATATAACAAATATATTAAAACGAAAACAGTAAAAACAGTTTGGTTATTTTAGATTACCATTGTCATGTTTATCATGATAATCAAATAGTAGGAAATTGCACAATTTCATTTGTCAAGTTGACACCAATTGAAAATATGTTTCATGACAATACTTTTTACATGAAAATATTTTTTTCTAATGTTAGCACTAACAAATTGTTTCATTCATAGCTCAATATCAAATGGTAGTCTGCCAATGAATCAAATTTCATGAAAGTGGACCAAATATTTAAACTCAGCACTCAAAAACTACTTAAATCATAATTTGTGCATGCTGGTAATCTCATATTATGTAATGTTCCTATTTGAATGCCACCATACTGGTGGATTTGATAGGAAGAAGGGACTGTTGAAGATGGAGGTTGAAATTAATTCAACCAAAAAGTAGTAAAAGTCCTTCTCCTGGGAGAGAGGATGGTCAACAATTACTTCTTAATACTGGTCTACTATTATTACTTGAAAAGTGATCCAAGTTGCTAACCTTGACATCTGAAAGACTTTAATTTGTTTAAATAAAAAAAATCTTGTAAAAATGAGAGAATAATTGCTTTTATTTGATCCTGTAAAAAAACTGGTGAAATCAGGTTGAAAAAGTAAAGCTCAGCAAAAACATCAAAGTAAAGTTTTGAAAGTTGCAGTTCGGGTTTATGAGTTAATAAGGGGAGATGAAATCAGGCGAGGGACAGGGTTTTCAGGTTTTGTGGAAGTTAAGTATATCCTTGTAAATATTGTGCTTTTAGAAAAATTATTAAAGTTGATTTGGTTTATTTGGCTACAGAAACATGACAATATACACATAAGCAATCTGACAAGGAGGATGCAGCCCAGAAAGACTTTCATGTAAAGCTGCCCCAATTTAAGTGTTACTAATGTGAAGAAAACCCAGAAAACTCCACATGGCCAATGGCCTAGGTGTGCATTGCAAACAAACAGACATCCTTATTTATATATATAAAGATTTAATTTTAAATTAAACTTTCAAGACTAAAAAGATACTTTTATTATTTTGTTTGCTTTATTAATTTTTGCATTCTTGAATATTTAAGTTGAAATTTAAAATATACCATATACTGTACATAACATAGAATTTACATTAGAAGTTTTAATCTAATTGGCTTAATAATGTATCTATAAGCTCAGAACAGGAAAGTTAAAAATTTAGTCAAAAAGCAATATGATGATAACTTTCACATTCTGTTTTAGATATTATAAGAATTTTAGTTAGCTTCATACAACAAATTTATTTCAAATAGAAAATACAATGGGGTTTCAATAAGTAACACCTTTTATTTTTGTAAACAAAAGTTTTAATGCATATGGAAATACAGAATATACGAAATGAAATATGTGGATTAGGCTACTTCTCGACAGGAACCATTCAGGTTTAAGCACTTGTCCCAGTGGTATACCTGCTTGAAGATGCCTGCATTGTAGAATGCCAGTTTCTGGCCATACAACCATCCACGAACAACCAATTTAACCTCCTTATTAGAATGGAACCTCTCTCCAGCCAGGAATTTTTTCAAAGGACCAAACACAACACTGAGCAATTTTTCCAACAGCGTCTTCAAGCGAATGCAGCAGTTGCTTTGAATCATTTGATCAACAGCAGCAACTGTTTGAAGCGAAGCTGCATTTACCAGATGACCTGATCTGTGCTCATCAATCACACACTAACAACCATTTTTAAACATTTTGCACCATCGATGGATGCTTGAATAGTTCATGCAATCATCACCATACACCTTCTGCATTTCCACATGAATTTTTTCACATTTCTTGCCCTTGCCCATAGAAAACAAATAACACTTCACTGCTCTTGGAGTATGGATGATGATAGCGTGCACACCATTTTCTTTCCGTTTGTCAGAAATTTTTGACAGGTGACACAGATATTCCTATTGTGCAATAGTGTTGCCAGAAATTCAAACTTCATTTACTATATTCACATTTTTGTGTACATATTAATTAAAAACATTTGTTTTAAAAAAATAAAAGGCGTTACTTATTGAAGCACCCTCATATATGAATTTTCATAGTTTTAACAAAACTTTTTTCATAAATTATAAGAGACAATTTGAAAAATCTGCAGCAAATTTAATCTTTCTTATGTAGCATTACAAAACTGTCTTACTAGAATATGATGGGCAATAAATAATAATAATATAATTTAAGGCATTTAGCATTTACTTAAGGTGTTGACTTACAATTCACAATTCTGTATTTATTTATTTTCAGTTATATTGTTATCTTAACTATTATTATTAAGCTGTTATTATTATCTTAACTATTATATTATAATTATCTAAAAAATTTATAATTAAAATTTTAAACTCTTACTTTTTAGCCTCCTTCAGAAGAAGATCGAAATGGAGATCTTAAAGGATATACAATCAGATATAAATTAGCTGGTTATAGTGCAAGTCCCTGGGTTTATAATAATGTCAGCAATGAAGCACAACACAGTCTTTTGCTTCAAGATCTTATTGTTTGGCAAAATTATGAGATTCAAGTTGCAGCATATAATGAAAAAGGAATTGGCGTTTTTAGTGATAGCATATATATAAGGACTCGGCAAGGGATTCCACAAGCTGCTCCAACTGAAGTAAGAGCAGATGCATTGAATTCTACAGCAGTTAAAGTAAGATGGAAACCGCCTGATCCTCAATTAGTTAACGGCATTAATCTAGGTTATAAAGTTCAATGTTGGTTTAATGATCTTCATAACAATAGTCATCCATCAAGAACAGAATTAGTTGCACCCAGTCCAACTGATCCTTGGGCCGAACAACAAATTATTCTTTCAAATTTAGAAAAGTTTACAACATATAGCATTACTGTTTTATGTTTTACAAGTCCAGGAGATGGTCCACGTAGTGATCCTGTTAGTGTTACAACAGCTCAAGATGTACCTGATGTTGTATCAAATATTAAATTTGAAAATATATTAGATACATCTGCCAAAGTATTATGGAGTCCACCTGTAAATATTAATGGAATTTTGAAAGGCTATACTTTAAAATATCATGTAAAAGATATGCCTGAAACTACTGTCGTGAAAAATTTAACAGCTGACATTACTTCTGTTGTAGTTGATAATCTAAGACCAGTTACTGCCTATACATTTATAATATTTGCTTGGACTATTATAGGACCAGGTCCTTCTCGTACTGCTGTAATTCAATCTGGAATTCCTCCAGGTTAGTTTATATAATTACATATAAAAATTATTTTTAAATTTAGCTTTAATATTTTTCTTGTGACTTTCATGTTATTTGTTAAAATTTGACAATTTGTTTTTTCTATAGAAGAAAAAGTATCAATTTAATTTGAATGAAATACACTAATTTTATTTAAATTGAATATTTAAATTAAGATTAAATTTCAATATAGGTGATAACATAAAATATTATTATTATTTATATTTAATATGATGATTATCTGTTCAATAAAAATTTTATTAATATATTATATTTGTAGTTCTTCCATCTCCTCCTAGTAAACTTGCAGTATCAAATATTGGAGCATTTTCTGTTGTTTTACAATTTACACCTGGATTTGATGGCAATTCTTCAATTATTAAATGGAATGTAGAAGCACAGTTGAGACGAAATGAAACTTGGTTTAAAATTTATGAAGTTTCAGATCCTGATGCTACAACCCTTACTGTATATAATTTAATTCCATTTACTGAATATTGTCTTCGCCTTTATGCTACTAATGTTGTTGGAAACAGTGAACCAAGTGAACCCTCAAAATTTTTCCAAACTATTCAAGCACCACCCTCTCATCCTCCATATAATGTTACTCTTCGAGCTGTAAATGCTAATGCTATTCGTGTAAGATGGACTGTAAGTATACTTTTTTAATAATTCTATTAAGAATTTATTTTGAATAATTTTTTTAGTTAAATGACAGTTAAATGTTATAACTGATTTTATTGGTTTTGATTTAAATTCTTCAATTATTTATTGAATGTTTTTATAATTAATACAGTATCTCCAATCATATAGACACAGTTTTATAGAAATCTTTATTAATATATTGATAAGAAGTTCAGGTGATCACAAACAGATGATGTTATACACAAATACTTATTTTTCGGAAAGCTAAGGGAATGAATGTATTTTGACAAGTTTACATCATCATCATCATCATCATCATTATTATTATTATTATTACAGTAGACCCCCTATAACGCGGAGATACGTTCCTCGTTATATGAATTTCGCGTTGTAGAAATCCTTAAATACATGAGCCAATAGCAGCCCAACACGTGTGAAGTTTACGGACTACGGCTGTTTGAAAGGTTTTCTTCCATAAAATTAATCGATTCTAGACTAATTTGACTTAACATTTCCAAAACACGTATAATTTTTTGGGAATAATCCGTATAAACTATGCTATAAACAAAAAATTGTAGGATTACTTACCAAGTGTGCACCATTTGACATTGCCATTGCTTAAGCTTGTTTTCGTCGCGGACCAGCGCACCAAACTGCGGCTGCGAATTCTGATGTTATTTTTCTGCGAAAACTTTGTTGAACTTTGAAGACATCATTAATATAAATAATTTTTATGGCCATTGAATAAGAAATGTTTCTTTCACAAGAAATGTATAAAATTACAGTACTGTATTAGACTTATGGTACATAATTTACATACTGTACAAACGATAGTAAACAACTTACTCGCCTAAACTCTCTGTAGTGTGGCGCTAGACGGCAGAAAGTATATATATAATTATAATAAAGTTAAAAAAAATTAAGTTAATATATAATTATATATACAGTACCTAATTTATATATAATTATATGTACAGTACCTAATTTATATATAATACTGTACAGATGATAGTAAAGTCAATTTACCCGCTTAAACTCTCTGTAGCGTGGTGCTGGACGGCAGAAAGTAGTTCGGCTGCTTGTTCGCGATGATGAGTTGGCGATGACGTTTTACCGCATTTTACGCGTCCCTTTTAGCGTCTATACAAATATTGTTGCAATTTTTCACTGCGTTATAGGAATTTATTATATAGGAACTCGCGTTATAGGGGGGTCTACTGTATTGTTATTAATAGTAGTAGTAGTCATAATTTATTGGTAAACACACTCACTCATATACACACATTTTGGGTTTAAATTTTACTAAATGATGATGATTTTGGAGTGAGAGACATCATAGTCATTGGCTTCTTCCAGATATTTCTCAAGAAATAAAAGCAATTATTAACAAAAACAAACAAGAATAAAATAAGAAAATTAGATTAGATTTATATTATCAACAAAAAAGATTTAAACAGATAATGCTTCAGTAAATTAATTAATTTTTAAATGGCATGATGTGCAATTGTGAGAATACAAAAGTATTCTTTATAAGTTTTTAAATTTAATGCTTTTTTCCATTTCTTTTGATTTGTTACTTATTTGGTTCCAGTGTTATATTGTTTACCAAACAGATAAGGTTTGCCATATTGTCTTCTTTGCCAATCTTTATTTTGGTAGTATGAAATTATTAGTTTTCTTTATATTAAATTGTCTTTCTTATTTTCTGATTAAAACAGAAATGAAGAAAAGCATTGTACAATTCCTTATAAAATCAATGTACAAAACATGTTTGATGATATAGCTTATTTTGATATTTATTGTTTGTTGTAGGTATAAATGAGAAACTGATTCATAAAAACCATAAAATTTTGAAATAGTTGAACTTTAATTTCAATGTTTTGAAGTTAGTTTTATTTTTTCAGTATTTTATTTGTTTTTTGTGTATGTGTGAACCTTAGTTCAAGAGTAATCCAAGTTACTTTTTTCTGAGTGTTACTAATCTAATGTCATGGAATCTGAGTATTGATAATCTAATGTTATGGAAGATACTCTTTCAATTGAAGTGTTGAAAGAGAACATCCTCTATAACATTAGTTCTCTTTTCTGTCGCAGTAAGTGTATACTTTAAGTAAAATCATTCTTTGTGAGTTTCCTATAGTGAGAGTGACCATTCAGGAAGTGACTTGGATCACTCTTGCACTGAAGTCCACATACAGTATATCAATTTAAGTAAAATTATATTAAAAACAAAACAAATTTTTGTAGCCTTTACAACAAGTTGAATGGTATGGAATACCTAGAGGATACAATATTTCCTATCGTATATATCCTGATACATCTGAAAACTATGAATCAATTATTTTAGAAGATCATAATGCAAATAGTTATGTATTAAAGAATTTAGAAGAATTCACAACATATGAAGTATTTGTTCAAGCTTATAATGATGTGGGATATAGCATGCCAAGTCCAAAAGCTTTAGAAAGTACAAGAGAATCAGGTAATGAAAAAGTTTAAATTATAATTTTATGTTTGAATACAGTAATACCCCAAACTTACGTGATAGGTGGGACTGAGCGGTAACTGTGTAAGTCGAATTCACATAAGTCGGGGTATAATTTCGCATATAAATACATACAAATAATTTTTAATTGGGGCCGGAGACTAAAGAAAACAATAATTTAGAAAAAAATGTTTAATAAAATCTTAGATAATACATATGTATAACAAATTAGGCCTATATTATTTTACAATTTTTTACAGTTACTTGATTATTACGCCATAATTTTAACATTGTTTCCATCTCAGCGATAATACTGTGACGTTTACAAATGATGCTTGAATTTAAAGATTGAGCATTTTTTCTTTGCCTTTTATAATCGTTCTGACCGACAATTTCGGTAGATCAAACTTCTTTGCCAATTCACAAATTTTCATTTTTGTATCAAAGTCTTTAATAATGGGTACGTTCGTAAAGTCAAACAAGTTAAACGCGTTAGTAACGAATTGTTCGAAAAGTCTTAACGAAATAGGAATAACGATGACTTCTCGCTTAACTCGTTCGACTTTACGAACATATCCAATGTTAACTTTACATTCCAAAGATAAAGTTTTTGTTTTCTTGTTTGATGCAGAAGAATTAGTTCTTCGTTTGGATGACATAGTAGAGTCTCTCAAGGCTCTGTAGATATAACAAACACAGAAATAAATAACAAAATAAATTGTAGCTGTGTGTGGATTCCACGCGACACATCCGAACATGTAAGCTGAACAATAGTGTGGGGGGAGTGAGTAATCAAGGGTTGCGTGGCGCTCAAACAAAAGACGAATCGACGAGATTTGAAAATCGCGTAACTCCGGGTTCGCGTAAGTCGGGGTAG